CGTTGCACTGACTTCGATATTACAACTTTTTAAGATACTTGCATGTTTCTAATATTTCGGAAAATTTATGTTTGAAAAAATTCTTTCAGTTATTTTTTACTTATTTAATTACTTCAGTTATATTCATTACTTTTACCCATTTCATACTTTTACCCATTCAATTACTACAGTTATTTAATTACTTCAGTATCCGAAAACTTCTGGATTCTAATTTTTCGAACCTTACAGAAATTTATTAATGCTAAGCCAGTGAATAATTATGTAATTTGAATGTTAAAAACATTGTTGTTAGTAATTCATAATAATTAATTATTGTTGAAGAGCTCATAATGGCCCCATATATTTCAGTGCCTATGGTTTTAATGATTAAATATTACCTTATCATTAATATGAATATTTAAATATTAACGCATAATAATACAATAGTGATGAAACTTTTATAAAAATTTAATATTAAAAGTTATTGAATTTGTAGTGATTAAATATTGATAAAGTAGTGGAAGTACAGCAGATAGTAAGTATATATCAAGTGATTTAGTAATAGAAGTTCTACAAAGGTAGATAAGAGAAGTTCTAGGCCTGACTACTAATTAAATGACCTAGGTTCAAAACTGATTTGTATCTGCACCTTTTGTTTTTCCTTCGTCCTTCCCTTTTTTTTATTTTATTATTATATATATTTCATTATATTTTTTTTTATTTTATTATTGCAGGGTGACCATTGGAAGTTGCTGAAAATAAATATTTATACATTTTTTCTATCGGTCTGGCAAAGGTTAATTTCAGTTTTATTTCAATTGTTATAGAAAGCAATTTACGAAAAGAAACATAAGCGAACTTACCATCGAAGAGAAGGTATATCTCATCAAGTGCTTTTATGGAAAAGGAAAGATTTACACAAATGCATATCGACAAATGGATTCCGTGCAAAATATGGATCGAAACGAGTGAGGACACACTGGAAAAATTAGCTTTTTACTGTTTTATGTAACGGCACGTGAATATTATTGCCTGTCTCTATCATGTTATGTTGTTTTAATTATCCAAGATGTTCTCGATTTCTTGATACCTTTATGCAGGATTATTAATAATTTTGTCACATATGATATATTACATAACCGAAGGCACGACTTTTACGTGAATCCTCGTATATCGTAATGAGAGAAGAAACTATTGAAGACATCGAAAATATTTTGAAACGAATCCAAATTCTTCCATTCGGAAAGCTGCGGAAGCTTTCGGATTAAAACAGAAAAATTTACAGAAAATTGTAAGAGAATATTATAAAGCTACTCCTATAAACTAACAACGCATCAATTGTTAAGCCCAACAGTTATGGAGAAGCGAATATAGTTTTATAACATAGTGACCGAAATGTTTGAAAATGGAGATCTTAACGAATAGCAAATTATTTTTATAGACGAAGCACATTTTTAGATGAATAGATATGTAAATAAGTGAAATTATTGATTCTGGGGAAAAAAATCCGAACATATCCATCGTCGTTTCTCTTCACCCTCAGAAAATTTTAATATAAGCAGTCATTCTTGTAGAAAAAATTTATCTGGAATTTCTCAAAAGAATATTCACAAGGGAATGTTATAAACAGCTGTTAGAGACAACATTCTTCCACATGCAAAAAATGAGGCTTTGTAAAAAATTTTTATTTTAGGCAAGATGGAGCGATTCCGCACCGAACTATAGAGGTATTTGAAACGATTCATAAAATGTATGGTAATAGAGTAATTAGTTTGGGATATCTTAAATTCGCCAATGGAGGCAAATGGTCAACCTACTCACTAGATTTAAATCTTTGACATTTTTTTCTTTGAGGATATGTGAGAGACAATTGTTATGCCTTAACACTGCAAACACTAGATGATTTGAAAATATCTATTCGGAAATGTATACTGGCCATTTCTTCATTTATATTAGAATGTGTATTCCATCATTTTCAGAAACGTATTGATATTGTGCAAATTCAGACGGTCATTATTTCAAAAACGTATATCACTAATTCATACCTATAGCCAATTTGTCGCTATTTCTTATTGTGCTTATTTTTATAAATTTATAAAAAATATATTTTGTTTTACATTACGATGTAATAAAAATAACGCGTTTTCTCTACAAATAGAGTATTTAATTCATTTCATTCTGTCCACTCGTTATAAAGCAGCTATCTAATTTCAATAACTTTCTAATGACCACCCTATATTTCAATCAAGAAAAAACATACAAACTTTTATATGTATAATTTGAAATATATTAACCAATGATAAATATTAGTCAAATAATTATTGAAATACAGTCAGTATTCAATCAGTGTAAATTCCTTAGTTATGCTCAGTATTAAATTTCTGTAAGGAGAGAGTATTATTTTTCAAATTTCAAAATTTTAATTTTTTAGGACGTGATCACCACAATAACGTGATCCGCGCATTTTTTCATTTAACATTGCGGAAAACTTCGAGAATTACAGATAGAAAGTAAAATTCCCTACATTTTTGATCGTCTTTTTTTTCACGATAGGCATTCTAAGGTAATATCTGCTCATCGCTACGCATACAATAGATTTTAAATATTCTTACCTGCACGAGTGCCTCCGGTTGCAGATGTTTCAGAAATTCACCTTGCGACTGATAAGTTCTAGGAATCTGTTGTTGTTGCTGTTGCAGCTCACGCTGCATCGTCGCAATTGATTCCGGTGTGCAGGAAGCTTTAGCCTGAACCCAGGACGCTGCCAGGATGAAACTGCCAAAGACTATGGACATTGTAATCAGAGTAATGGCGGCGATTCTTGCGATTTGAACTGCAGTGCTCTTCATTGGAGGCCTCATATATGCCTGCAGAAAGAAAATCCACACATCATAATTATTTATGACTGACAATACAAACGGAAAGAGAAACGGTACAAATTCGAATCTCAAGATAAAATCTATTACTTAAAATAAATTCAATAAATGAAATTATATTATAGCAAAAACTTCCTACTGAACTTTTTCTTTATCTCTAAATAAATTTCCATTTCATAATTTCATGATTGTTGCGATGTGAGACAATCAATAATGGAAAATTTTTATTTTTTAATTATATTGAAGCTGAGATAGACTGCAATGAATGAATAATTAAATTTACATCGCGCAATAATGTAAGTGTTTCATTATACTTTGATACAAGTTATTTTGATAACAAATTATTTTGATAACAAGTTTACTAAAAGTTACTCTTAGATTGTCATATTACATTTTATACAGGATGATTCATAAATGCATGTCAATATTTCAAGGGGTAAATGTACTAAAATAAATAAAAAACGTTATATGAATATATGTCCTACATACTACTATGATTAAAAAGTATCCGAACTTTATTTTTAAAAATCAAAATAATTCAAACATAAAAATTCTTATAGTCTCCTTCAAAGCAGTCCCCATTATTGCTTGCAACGCATATATGCCGGCGTTTAATCCAGTCCTGGAAAGATTGCTCATACGCAGCAGACAGTACGGTCTTCAGTTCACGCAGCGATTTTTTTATGTCCACAATCGATTCAAAACGCTGTCCGCGAAGTGGTTTTTTCAGTAGGGAAAAAGTCTCAGGGGATCATGTCTGTTGCGTGCGGAGCGACATTCGTTGAGTTTATTAGAAATTCACACACAAGTATCGAAGCATGCGATGATGCGTTATCATGATGCAAAATCCACGAGTTGGTTTCCCACAATTCCGGCCGTTTCTTACGGATTGTTTCGCGCAAATGCCTCATGACGGACAAGTAGTATTTTCCATTGACTTTTTGACCAGTTGGAAGAAATTCCTGCACAACTCCGCGATAATCGAAGAAAACCGTGAGCATGACCTTGACTTTTGACTGCAAACGATGAGCTCCACCACTTAACCCATTAACGCCCAAACGACGCGAATTTTAAGTAACTTTTCACCGAGTTTTTTTTTATGCTATCGGTCTACAAAAAAATTTCACAGGCTCTTTTCCGACGCAAAATTTCATGTTCTTTCAGAATCCGAGGTCAAAATTGCGATTAACCCTCAAGGAAAAAATATATGGCCGATTTAAACACGAAAAACGTGAAAATTTTCGAAACATTTTTTTTCTGAAATTTTTTTTGCAATGATACCGCAAAGGTATCATCTTTTAATCATGATCAGAGGGTGATCATGGGGGTTGAAGATTAACAGGAAATTTTTATATTAATAGTGAATCACTTATTTTTCACAAAATGGCGTCGAGAATGTGAAAATTTTATTAAAATCTTAACTTATCGTTTTCTTGAAAACTATAGACTTTAGGAAAAAGTTGCTAAGAACAATAATGTCTTAGAATTAGTCAAGGAACACTCTCAAATTTGTTCAGAATTTTTGCAGACAATTTTTGATTTTCTGATAAATTCGGGAAATCCAATTTTCCAAAAATGTTTATTATCAAGATTAAGTTTAGAGTTGCGAGCTAGCATCCAATATATTTTACATAACTTAATTCCGAGCTGTTTCCTCTTAATGAATATTTATTTTCTCCAAACTACACGTCTGTCTAGGTAAACACTAAGATGCTTGACATGATTTGCTTGCGGCACCATCACATCATTTAGCTTAACAGGTGGACAAGTCTCATGCCTAGTCATAAGGTGACGTGAATTGATTTTGTCTCATTTGCTTTGATCCTCCAAACCCGCATCCAAGAAACAATATCATTGAGACTGTTTTCAAGGGTGATAGAGGCTATTGTGTGATCAGAATGAGATGTTAATATCGCAGTGTCGTCAGCAAAAGTACCAATTATGACAGATCGGTTTGTGGGCAAGTTATCCGTAAAAAGTAGGTATAGTAGAAATCTTAACACGCTGCCCTACGGTACCCCAGCTCGAATTGATTACAGTATAGTTTGGATTTCCCAAAAAATGACTAAAAAATGGCGATCAGCAAGACAGGACATCAAAATGTTATAAAAGTAGTTTGAGAGATTCATTTTAACTTTGAATAAAAGTCCATCGTGTCATACACGATCAAAAGCTTGTGAAACGCACAGAAAAGTCGCTGAGCAATATTGCTTCTTCTCGCGAAACAGGTGAATTATGTTGAAAAGCATATGAACTTGATCAATTGTGCCATATTTCTATTGGAACCCAAACTGATGATCTGGAATTAAACTCTTCTCTTTGATTAACATCATTCTCGAAGCTAATAAGGATTCAAAGATGTTAGCAGATATAGACAGCAGACTAATTGATCTGTAACACTTTGGATCGTCAAGTCATTTGTAGGGTTTGGATATCATTTTCACTTAAGCGATCTTCTACTGGAGAGAGACAAAGCTCAATCTTAGCATCGCATTATAAAGTTGCGTAAGATATATACGTATCCAACTTTGGGAAACTCTCTTAGTAACCGGTCAGTTACGAGATCGTAATCAGCTTTTGTATATTCGAGCCTCTTAATAACTGCCATGGCCTCAGATTTTGAGAAACTTTGAATTTATTCCTCCGAATGATCCGAGGCATTTAAGGTGCTTAATACATTAATTTCATGTTTAGATATATCTCCTGGATGTATATCTCTGGCATGAAGACTTTATGAAGATACTCAGCAAAGGTTTCAGCCTTCTCAATATCGCTTCAAGCCCAGCTACCATTTTCACACCACATGGGAGGAAAGTTAACTATTGGCTGTTTTATTTTCTTGCAGGTTTTCCAAAAATAGTAATCAATGGCAGCGGGGGCATCCAATTGCTGTAAATACATTTGAATGCTATTTTTTTTTTGTATTGAGAAGGTACCTTAGATCTTTAATAGTGTAGTTTAAACGGGCTTTCAAAAGAGGACATCTGGTTTGTTGCCAAAGTTTTCGTAATCGTTTCTTCTATGATACTTTATCCAAAATTGATTTGGAGAATTTTAGATTACACACGTTACTTTCATGAAAAGGAGTTGATTCCCAAGAAGGCATTTTGCAATATGGTGTTAAATTGCTCAATAGCCAATGCTATATCTTTCTCAGACTTGAGCCTTATCTTTATATTGAGAGAGCTGTTTAAACGTTCGCGGAAATAAGACCAGTCAGTTTTATTATTATGTAGCATACGTTTCTGAGGTTTAATTATACAGGCCAACAGGGGTCAAGAAACTAAAACTCTAATATACTTTTTCGAAGGTTTTTCACGCGCTGAATCTAAATCTGGGCTCAGAATTTCTCTATCACGTCAAGCTTTCGAGATATTCTAACCTAAACGTGCAAAAAACACCGTTTTTGCCCAATTTCGAGGTTATGTAGTACCGTGAATTTTTTTCTGCAAAAATACACTTAGGGATCTTAAAGTGTCAGTTTTGCTCTTTCAAATGCCGTTGAGTTTGCTCAAATATCTTTTTTTTTCGCTGAGATATTGCATTTCAAAGTTGACGTGTTCGTGAATTTGCCTAATATCTGAAAACCCGTTAAGTTAACATAGACGCGATACAATCGATTAATTTTTTTATGAAGAAACACAAATTGTTTTAAAATCAATAAAAACGTAATCTTTACCAAATAATAGTAAATCTGGGCTAATACACTGACATTAGGCAAATTCACGAACACGTCAACTTTGAAATGCAATATCTTAGCGAAAAAAAAAGATATTTGAGCAAACTCAACGGCATTTGAAAGAGCAAAACTGACACTTTAAGATCCCTAAGTGCATTTTTGTAGGGGAAAAAAATTGGCGGTACTACATAACTTCGAAATTCGGCAAAAACGGTGTTTTTTGTATTTTCAGGTTAGGATATCTCGAAAGCTTGACGTGATAGAGAAATTTTAAGCCCAGATTCAGATTCAGCGCGCCAAAAACCTTCGGAAAAGTATATTAGAGTTTTAGTTTCCAAAAATAAATAAAATTTTGTTGGCCTGTGTTATTAATTTGCTAGCTACAATCATTAAGACCGGAGTATGATCGTAAGACAGCTATAAACAGTCTTACATTCAATATAGTTGTCAGTTAAAGAAATTTTATAAGTTATAAATAAATCAATCAAATCAGGAATTTAGCTCTATCCACAGGCTAGAAAGAAGGATATCCTTTCTCGTCAGCATATCTGGGCAGTTTCGTGATCTTTCTTTGCTGTATACTTCAACTCAATCACTTTCAGTTCCACTAGAGGATGCAGTTTTGTTTACCGGTCCACGAAGTGAGCGCATGTGAACATCAGAGACTTTACTATTTCTTGGAGTAGTAAAGATCTCTCTGAATGAAGAAGAACGCTGTCTGAATATTGAAGAAACTTGAGTTTTTAAGTTCAAATTAGATACTGGATCTTTATTTTTCAGTAAAGATCTCAAAGTCAGNTTCCCCCCCCCCCCCTCCTCCCGCCTAGAATCCATGGGGCTGGCCTTCTTAGAGGATGGATTCTCCAGGACAGTGCCTGACTTACCTGGGGTAGTAACTTCTGCATATGTTTTATCCATTATTCGTTGGTTGCTAGTTTTCACCCCAGGTATTTTGTTTTCTTTGGTTGGTCCACTCAATCGACGAACCCACGAGCATTCCCCAATCCGCCACCTGGGGACGCGCCCTATGGGAGACTAACAAACCCACACGGGGAGATGACATATATTTTAATTAAAGTATTGACCGTTCAATAACTTTATGATTGATAACTTTTTTCCGTCTCTCGAGTAATAGTTTGATCTCGCGCTGATCAAATGTCTCATTTTTTTAGATAATCCTTTCATCAACACATTTTCACACTTTCAGCATTCTGAAACCGCGTGTCAGATAGACCGTGCTGCATCGATCTGAATAAATAAAAATTAGATGAGACGATATCTAGAGAGTACGCTGAATAAGACAGAATTCAAT